TAAGGCAGTGTAACAGGCTGGGGTAGGAACGTGAACTGCCTCTCCTGGGGTTTTCAAATTCCAGACCTGTGAATCTACCTTGGATAAAATGCTTTTAGGTGTATCTAAATATATTGTCTAGTAGTCCTGACACTAATATTTACCAAAAGGAGAAGGATATTTTGGTGTCAGAGATACCTCTAAAGGGGCGCGCACACACATCTTCCTAATAATGGGGTAGGAGGGTTTGAGAAAACTAGGAAAGCCTGAATGAGAATTATTGCCCCAAATCCGCAGGTTAGAGGCGCTGTACAGCTGCTGTCGGGATACCAGCGATGCTCGTCACAGTTCAGGTCCATTCAAAGGGGTCCAGGGCCTTCAAGCAAGGCAGGAGTGTAAGTCCCAGTATCCAGAAGAAAATGAAGCTTTATCTGTCAAGCCAAGAGCTTCCCAGGGCACCTGTAGAGTGACAGCCACTCTGCTGCGAGGGCTCTGAGAGCCTTGGCCACCCTCAGTCATCCGGGCACCAACAAGGAGGCAGGGGCCTCGGGTCCAAAATGGTGGAGGTGGCAGTCTTCCTGTGTACAGTGGAGGTGCGTCTTCCCAGGGGAAGAGGGGCTTCACTACTGCCAGCCTGGGGCAGGGTTGGCGCTCCCCAGGCGCAGCAGCTCTCTGACCTTAGTTCTTTTTATAAGTGGAGACTTGAGGTCTTTTTGAGGAGTCACAGTTTTGTATTTTTAATATTAAGGCAATCTGGCTTGATTGTGTGCCTGTGCTCATCTCTCCTGGGCCTCAGCATTTGCTGCTACTTGGTCCCTATTGTTGAAAACCCCAAAAGCCAAGTTTAAAAGTTCATTAAGGGGGTCCTGGGGAGTGTAGCCTGCTTTTGAAGGTGCTTATGGACATTCTAGGCCAACTGGTTAAAATAAAATGTGTTTCCAGTAAAACTTGTCCCGATTGTGAGTTGGGCTCTGTATTTACAGAGGTTCTCAGTTAAGTGCCCCAGAAATAAAGTGGGGTTTGGGGAGGTCTTGGGCGATTTTCCTAATCATTTTTATTTTATTTGTTTATTGTGAGGCAAGGTCTCACTATGTAGTCAGGCTGGCCTCAAACTGAGCAGGATTCTCTTGCCTCAGCCTCCGGAGTGCTGGGATTACAGGCGTGTGCCACCACACCCTGACCTTTCTCAGGTTCAGTGATTTATGCATGTATTTTTAATTCCATCAATTGATGAATAATCATTTTATCATTTTTTTGTCCTCATTTTCAATCTGATATTGTCAACCCAGGCCCCACAGGCACAGTAACTATGACACATTTTTATCATTATCTTGGATATGGACAGTTCATGAAATTATTTCTTTCTACAGTTCTGGTCACAAAATGAATTGGACAAGAAGTGAATCAAATTCAGTAGTTAGGTTCAATGTTGACCTTATGGGGAAACTGGATTCTGTTCTCCAATTTAGTTTGTAACCAAAACCAAGACAAGAAGGAAGTTTGTGGACCCAGATACCACTGTATTTTACTGGCCTTACATGCTGCAGTCCATTTATTTATTTATTTTTAAGGTGTGAAGCAAGTAGTAGAAAACAGTACATGAAGGTCTTGTCCAAGTTGATCATAAATTACAGTCAAAGTATGAAACGCATCTCTGAACCTACTTGGGTTCTTTGAGAAAGCCCCAGTTTTTGTTCAGGCTAGGACTGATCACGTGGGGAGAAGTGGGCACGCGCAGTTCCTGTTCCCCTTCTGAAGCATCTTGAAGCAGATACCTAGTAAGTTCTGAATCACTAGGGTGATAAAAAGCGCTGGGTTCCGTTGGTAATGAGGGGTGTTGGCTGGGAAGATGAGGAGATGAGATGGGGGAAGTGATCTCATGAGAGGACAGCCACAGGGAGTGACTGAGCAGGATTCTAAGCTCTCCTCAGGGCCCTCGGGTCGCTGTTGGCATCTGGGGTGGTCATCCAAGAATGCATCTTTCATAGGGTCTGGTTCCATTTTATAGGTCCTACTGGCAGGTGGGTATAATAGATTTTACAAGACTCATGTCATTCCAGGTCTCCATATAGGGCCATCAAAACCTGGACAGAGGGACTTTTGTTTGTTTTTCTCTCCCTCCAGGCTGGAATATTGCGTAAAACATTGGGCCCCACTCAGAGGCCATGCCTTCCCACTTTTTAACTTGTATAGATTTGCCCCCACACTGTTTTATAAGAGAAGATTGTCTTTTTTTTTTTTTTTCAATCTTTTGTTTTAAAAGGGTCCCAATTTTGCAAAATCTAACATAAAAGTTTCAGGGGAGATGTAGAGCTACTCATACATTAGCAAGGTATACCGTATACCTTTGAGACAATTCCCTTCTGTACCTTGGAAGAAGGTAAAGAAAAAAAAAAAAAAAAAAAAAGCCAATGGGATGGAAGCCTCTTGAGGTCCCCAAGACGGGGCTGCACGAGCCGTTCACGCCGCCCCTGCCTTCCAGCACCAGGATCCTTGATCAGGTCAGGGCGCATGCGTAACCTGCCCAAGGTGATCGTGCCGCGTGTACAGTCTGTCCCTCTTTCCACAGTCAGGGCCACCCTGAAGGCGGCTCTGCCCTGCTGCCCCACAGTCAAGCCACCCTCACTGGCAGCGGGGCCTGCTTCCTCTCCCTCACCACCCCAGGCGGCTGTGGTACTCACAGGGAAACTGTTGCTGATGTCCAGAAGGAGCATTCTGCTTCTGGTGTGCAGCCCTTCCAACCTTTATTAACTGAGCCCGAAAGCGGGAAAACCCAAGAGCAGGGTTTTACTCAAACACCTGTCCCAACGAAGACAACAATATGCATTGTTAATGCATTGTTAAATTAATATGTATTAATTATTGAAACTGTCCTATTAATCGGTTTAGAAACTGTCTTAATTGCTATTTGTTTCTCAATAAAATTAATTAAAAAAAAAACAAAACAAACAAAAAAACAAAAACCTGTCTCAGAGATCTTTGTATATGGGGGCATGTAACACGTATACGGAACTTATAGAAGGTTTCCAAAGTCTGAGGTGTCGCTTAGCAACTACAGGTCACCTATGTCGTAAAACACTGAGGCCATGTACTCCCCCACCATGAGTTTGGGACAGATGAAAACTAGGGTGGGGGAGAAGTGATGAGAAAGACATTGGGGCTGTCTTGAGGGGGAGAAGAGAAAAAAAGAGACCACCAGGCTCCTTCCAGGTGTAAATCCATAGACTCTACCAGGTCCCAAGCATAGTGTCAGCTGTCACCTGGAGGGCCACTCAGACCTGCACAGCTTGGAGCATGGGCCCTGCTGCTCAAAAAGAGGCACTGTGGGCACCAGGTGGACCGAGCTTATGCCCTTTGATTGAGGGAGGGAGAGATGGACACGCAGCGCGGGGGTGCCTCTCGGCTGAAGTGCTTAGGACTCCACGTCTGAATACCTCTGGACACTGATTCCTCCCTGGACCTAAGTGAGGACTCATTGTTCCCCGCACTGTGTCTCGGGCTGGAGTTTCCCGCGCAGGCAGCAGCAGAAGCTTGATTCGGGACACTGGGTGGAGCTGATCCTTCCTCTGTAGCTCTCTGGATGAGCACGACTGTCCTGTCTCCCCAGGGATGAGGTGCGATGCTGCCATCAAGGGATGCCTGGACCGCCCCTCCAGACCCTCTTCTCCTTTCTGGTACACAGCAAGCGTCTCTCGTTTTCTCTGCTTGTATGCACAAACGCTCAAGTTTTAGGGCCTTGGGAGTCTAATGTTAGAAAGAAAATAGACTAAGAACAGGGAGAGGCGGAGAGAGGGGAAGAGAGGGCAAGGGGTTGAGAGAAATGGGGAAGAAGCAGAAATAATGAAAAGCCTTTCTGGGGTGTCCCTGTTTAGCCTTCTGCTGGGCAGATGTCACCAGGCTGGGGCTCAGAGTTTCTCAAACTTAACCCAGCCTACCGCAGCAGGCTGGCTGACTGCCACTGCCAAAACAATTTTAGGGTATGCCAGAAGGGGACCAGGTAGGGTTTAGGAAACAAAGACAACACGAAACACACAAGAAGGGTGTGCGGGCACTCTGAGAAACCAGATGCTCACAGATGGAACCTGAGCACATTTCTACTTTCCTTGGGATGGTGAGGAGTTAGGCGAAGACGGTGCACGTCCGTTTCCCCATCCCCAACAGAGGACCTGCCCATCCACAGGTGTGAGTTTTGTTCTGCTCGCATAGGTGATTTAATATTGTTTGGCTTGACTCAACCTTTTGTTTACATTTTTAGTTGGGCTGATTTATGGCCTTCTAAGAAGAGGTCTGGGCTGGCCTGAGAGCTCAGTGGACTAAAGTGCCTGCTTAGGCAGAGTGCAGTGGTCGGGTTCAATACCTGGGCCTGCTCCCGGGACACGCTGAGAGGGCGATTGAGACCGGGCGTGGTGGTGCATGCCTGTAATCCCAGCACTTGGGAGGCTGAAAACAGGAGAATCACTATGAATCTGATCTACGAAGTGAGATCCTGTAGACCCTGCCCTAAATAAAAAATAAAATAAAATAAAAAGAGGTCTGGTTAAAAAAAAAAAAAAAAAACTAAATCTGGCTAGACAGGACTGCCCTTGGGTCAGTCCTTATCTGAGGGCCAGGCTCCTATACCTTATTTTTTAAAATTGAGCTGATTTATGGCCACTTACTAATGAATCTAACAGAAGAGACAGCATGATAGCCAACAATGTTGGCATGTGCTGTACTGGGTGACTTTAGCTAAGTCCTAAAAGTACCTGTCTTTTATTTCTTTTATCATATCTCAAAGCAAGACCCTGCCTCAAAAGAAGGCTGGAAGTGGGGGTGTAGCTCCGTTTGAGGATCTTGGGTTTAATCCCAGCACTGAAAAAAAAATAAAAAAGGGAGAAGGGGCTTAGAAATGGCAGCTTGCGACTGTCACCCACAAGCTGTTCAGATAGTCAGCTGACACAGGGAGAATTGGGAAAGAGGGTGCAGGGAGGCCCCATACTTCCGGAGTCGCTCCCCACTAGGTAGAAGGTCAGGAGGCCGTGATGAAGCTGTGGTCCCCACTGCGGGAGTCGCAGATGCGGCCAGGTCCCCGGCACACCCTGCCTTCACGCTCTCTAAGTGAGGTGCTTCCCCTACTCAGGGCCATAGTGGAGCCAGGGGTCTTCAGGGAACCTGTGGCCTCTGGGAAGGTCACAGGCTTGAGGGACAGTGAGGCCCAAGTCGAGGGTGGCCCTGCGCAAACCCTGGACCTCCGGGCTGGGGAGGAGGCCAAGTCTGAGGAGGGGTGGCTGCTCAGTGTTGGAAAAAGTGGCAACGAAAAGAAGCTCCGGTGCTTCTGTCTTTTCTAAATAGTGCTGCTGAGAAAACAAGCAGGAGGGTGGGGGAAAAGGAGTTTTATTAAAGTGGCAAATTGCGGCTAATAAACGCAGAAGGAATGATAAACTAGTGTCGCATCATGGCCCCACAATCCTAATGCACTTGTGGCAGAAAGCAGACCAAACACAGGGTGAAATGGCTCCGAGGGGGTTTAGGAGGCGTGTACTTACCCCAGTGGGCCTGACTAGAATCTCTCTCCCAGTCAGAGCTCTGCCCAGTGGGGGATATGGGGGCTTTTGTAGGGGAGGTGCAAAGCCAGATTTGGCTCATTTGAGTGGAGGGTTGGGTGACATCATAGGTTGCTAAGGCAGTTTAAACATCTCAAGTTCCACTGCAAGGCCATCAGTTAAACAAGCATGAGTTACCCAGAGGAATAAGTGTCCTGTTATATTTGAAGTTACACTGCAAGGCCATCAGTTAGCCAAGGGCAATAAAGACAGGGATTGTTGTTCCAAAGAGATTGATGCATATTGATGACAATTTACGCAAAGGAAGTAGTACTCTGGTATGAGGCCTACCAGACATGTCTGCTTGGCATTGGAGGGCAGCCCGGGCAGTTTTTTATTTAAAAGTTTTAATTTCTCCCTTCAAACTGACACATGGGGCCAGTGGTGGCAGCTAAGTCAGTAGGAGAGTGTCCTAGTGACAAGGTCAGTGTGACAAGGCCTGAACCCTTGGAACAGCTGCCAGATGTTATGTCCTCTGGAATACGTGATGGGAAGCTCGCAGCCCTTGAGCTTGCCGTGCTCCTGCCCAGAAGGGCGAGAGGCAACAACCAGAAAGGCCCGCTGGAGGCTGCAGGGAGGCTGCGGTCAGCCAAGGCCAGCAGGGGACACACCGGCCAGAGGAGTCTGCTCCTCCATGGGTGCACGGCCAGAACACACAGAGGGAGGCACTTGTCACTCCAAAGAGATTGACAGCACATTGCAATCAAATGCAGAGCTCGGATTTTCCAACACACCCGAATAGAGCAAGTCAACTATGAAAAATGTCTGCGATATCTGCAAAGGGCAAACTGGGCATTAGATGAGATGGTAGAATTATGGGTAAGGGTTTTTGTGTTTTGTTTGTTTGTTTGCCTGGTTGGTTGGTGTGGAGGACCACCGGGATGACTCTTCTGGAAAGAAGAGCCATTGTCTCCATTTTGGCTGAACCCGGCCCTATTTCCATGTGCTGGTATGTACAGGGCTGGCTCAGACTTTTCCTTATCCCTTCAATTGGCTCTGAGCAAGGCATATGGGTCTAGCCAAGGTGCTGGTCTTTGAAGCAAGGCCACAGGGCAGTGTTTCCTTGCCCCCGCCTCCATAGCTCCCCCCCAAAATGTGTAAGCTGGAGGGATGGAGAGCCCTGCTCACGCTGTCGGCTGGCATGAGCCTCGAGACAGAGGCTATGACTTCCCGAGGTACAAAAGATGACACGTCAGAGCTGAAGCACTCGCCCCAAAGCATGGGACACTATCTCCGCTGTGTTATGCAGATTACTCTCTCTGTATGTCCTTGTCTCTGAGCCTCACAGAGGAGAATGCAGGCCGCCGACCTGGCCCAGCTCACTGCGCTCACCTGCCAGCCGCGTTCTCACAGTCACTCACCTGCAAGCTACTCCTTTCTTCACAAATCAATAAAACTCAGGCTCGGCTCTTGGTCGAGGCCTTTGTTCCGGGTTGCCATTATCCTAGCTGGGCTTAGGACCCCCTGGCTCCCCACAACTACACATATGCCTTAGTGTCTATTCTCCCCATGGGCTGCACTGGAAGTGGTAGATTGGAATGAACTTACTAGAATTCCAGTCAGTTTTCCATGGATTACACATATAAACTTCCTGGGCTGAGACACGGACCTCGCTCCATGGCCCAGGCCTGTCTCAAACTCTGCAGCCTCCTGAGTGACTTGGACTCTGGGGGAGAGGGGAGCTCCATGATAAAATTCTAAGCGTGATGAAGGTATTGTGGTCGTTAGGTGTGAACCCGCGCAATGACCAGACCAGGCATTCTGACGCGAGTAGATTTATTGGGGACAGCAAGCCGGCTGGCTGCTGAGCAGACCAAGAGAGCAGCGAGCAAGGCAAAGCACAGGCTTTGTAAGGAGCGGGAAGGGTGTTTGTGAGCTGGAACAGCTGAGGGAGAGCTAATCCTGGCAGGGCCAGCTGGTCTGTGGGGGACCTTCGATGTCAACTGCCCAGGTCAAAGTCAGGCAGACTTGTTCTTCAGCTTTGGGCTTGGCTCTGCGTGGGGCCACGGGGGACAGAGTTCCAGGGCAGAGTGCCCGAGAAACTTTGAGTCCTGACCTATCAGTGGGTACTTCCACTTTTTCATTATAATTGCACATAGTGTGCAAATTACTGGGACTCACTGACACACACATGGCGATGGACCATGCTCACCCACTCCTCTACCCCGGCACAGAACCCTTCCCATCTATAGTAATGTACACACACACACACACACACACTCTCAAACACACATGAACATGTGAAACCATGCGACACTTATGTGTATCTCTGGCTTATTTTATGTAACATGATATTTTCCCGTTCTGTTTAACTTCCTGCAAACGACAGTGTTTTATTCTTCATGGCTAAATAGTACTCCATTTTCTTCATCCATTCATCTGGTGTCCTAGCCTGATACCATATCTTAGCTATTGTGAATAATGCTGCAGTAAACAAAGTTTGTACCTCTCTCCACCCCCACCCCTCACTCTCCCTCCTTCTCCAGGATCCTGCTAAATTGCTCAGCCTGGCCTTGAATTTGTAATCCTCCTGCCTCAGCTTCCCAAGTTTCTGAGGTTACAGATGTACATCACTCTAGTCAGCTGTTATTTCTTCTTTTGAAAAGTGTCTGTTCAGATCATTTGCCAATTTTGGCTGAACTACTTTTTTAAATAGGTTTTTGTGCTCTCTCTACATTCTGGGTATTAACTTCGGCAGA